GAGGTTCCTGCTTATCCGTATTCTTCCTTGGGGTCCCGGGGAAAGGGTCTGAGGACTGATTAATATCCTTGGTTAATTCAAGGATGATAATAGTGATGAAGGCTACCACTTATTGAGCACTTACTGTGTACTGCGTGCTAAAGTCTTTGTGAAAATTCTCTCACTCACGCTCCAATACCCCATGCTAATTAAACTTAATTAATTCAAGGAGGTTAGCTCAACAACAACACAGCAACCAGCACTTAGGAATAAGTACTGTCCTAAAGTCTTTGTATGTATCAATACATTATCTCTTTCAGTCAATCCCGATTACCTCCTCATTCACTGACCTTAGGTAACAGAGGGATGTTAAACCAATAACAATAATCATACAAATAATAATGATAGGACTCAGCACTTTTTGAAGATTGAGGCTCACTGTGACACAGATACTGGGCTAAACAGTTTTCCTGAAATAAGTAGTCTATCCCTGTGAGTTAGATACGGTTCATATTCTCATTATACAGTTGAGGACACTAAGACGCAACGGAGTAGAGTAACCTGCCCAGGAATGAGAGTTAAGAAATGCCTCTGTTGGAGGGACCAAAAAAGGGAGGAAGGGAAGTAAACCAAGAATGTGTAGAAGCTGATTGGGAAAGTAAGAAAGTGAGAGTGAATGAGACATGTGGTTGACTAACTCTGGCCGGACAGAGCAGGGAAAGTCCTGCTCTGGCTCCTTGCTGACCCTGGTTCTGACCCCAGTGTTGTAGCTCTGAAACCTGTCAGCTCAGAGTTTTGCTGACTGTTTACACGTGAGGAGTTGTGTAGATTTGGGTTATGGTGCAGGTATGAAAATGGGGGGAATCGAGCCAGTGGTATGGTGGTTAAGGGGGCTGGATCCCATATGACAGAATGTGCAGTTCAATTCCCAGACCTGGTGGCTTGAAAAACATGCTACGGGGCAGGGGGGCACAGGTGGCATGGTGGTTAAGGCGCTGGGCTCCCATATGGCGAACCACGGTTAGAGTCCCAGACCTGGCAGCTTGCTTTCTCACTTTTTTTCTCTCTCTCTGGTGAGCACACGTGCCCTATAGCAAATGAAATAATAATAATAATAAATAAAATGGAATAAATCATTCAAAAAAAAAAAACTCACTTTGGGCACATGTGCATACATAGCCAAAATCCAAAGAGAATGGAATAGAAGGGACTGTGGTGTGGAGGTGTGGCCATCCTCCATGGGGGGAGGTGATTTCTTATTCTCTCTCTCTCTCTCTGGTGAGTGTATGTGCCTTATAGAAAAAAAATTACAAAATAGAGGGACTGGGAACCAGCAGTTAGTGTAATGGCTATGTCACTGGACTCCCACGTAGTCGACCGCGGTTCGTGTCCCGGACCCGGTGGCTTAAAACTCACGCCGGGCGCGTGTGCGTGCGTGCCCAAGATCCCGAGAGGAGAATGGAGGAGAAGGGATTGCGACGTGGCCATCTCCCCTGGGGAGTGATTTCTCACTTTCTGTCTCTCTGTCTCTCTCTGTCCTCCTGGTGAGTGCATGTGCCCTATAGCAAAAACCTCTCTACAAAAAAAAAACAAAAAAAAACCCCCCCAAAAAAAAAAAAAAAAAAAAAAAAAGATGACAAAATAGAAAATAGATGGAATCATAGAGGGGTGCCCAGTTATGTGACTGGGGAGCTGGGTATGGGGACCCGTAGGGGCCCTCTGGCATGTTCAGAGCCTACACCTCATTATCTCAACCTACTAAGCGCTTGGGCATGCTTGTGCCCTTTGTACAGATCTGAAAACTGAGGCCCAGACAGGAGTTAACTGACCTGCCTGGGGTCCCACATGGCCTTAGGAAGAGGAGAGGTCAAGATTCAAACCCAGTGTTCTCCAGGCGACCCCAGAGCCCAAAGCTCCCTGCACACACACACATGCAGGTACACGCTCACACACATATGCAGCGTTCTGGCTCAGGTCCAGAGGAAACAAGGATGGCTTATGAAAAGGGGACCTAGAAACTTGAGCTGGGAGAGGGGTGACAGTATTCATGGAGACTCACAGCTCTCTGGTGTGTTTCTGCCTTTGAGAGTTGTGTGTGCGCCCCTCTGTGTATTGTGTGTCCATTTCTGAGTCAGGTGTGTGCCTGAGTGTTTTGTAAAGCCCTGCTTGTTTGATGTATTGTTTCTGGAAGTTGCGTAGCTGCCCCTGAGAAGCGGTTGAGGTTGCGTAGGCAATCACGAATGCATTGCTCGCCTCCATGTCTGTGCGTATGTCCAAGTGGCGCGTCATGCACACGCCTCAGTATTCTTTCCCTGGCTTGCTGCCCAGAGGCCCCCCTCTAGCCCCTTGTGCCAACATCATGCCTCTGAACACCCTTATAATGACGCCAGTCATTTGGGAAATGAGGAAGGGGGGGGTGCAGAGGGAGGGTGAGGTCTAAAGGTCAATCGTTCACCCTGAGTCTGCGGGCTTCCTGTGCCTGTCGGGAACTGGGAACCACCACCGCCCCAGCAGCCCCTCCGGGAATGCCAACTCTCTACCCTGTCAGTGGGAGGGAGGGCCAGGGGGGACCTGAGCCTGCATAAGTGCTATGATGGGACCAGGGTTGCCCAAGCCAGTTCCCTCTGCCCTGCCCAGGGTTGGGGCTGGAGGAGGAAGGGAGACTTGTATTCTCACCTGAACGTGTATGTCACCAGCCCCTAGGACGTTGCCTGTATACTTAGAGTTACGTCTGTTACGTCTGTCTCTGGTTGTGTGTATGCCTTCGTGTTGTATATATGGCAAGGCAGGCTGTGTGTCTAGATATGCCTTGTGTACCCAGGAGTGTGGTGTGGGCCTGTGCTGTCTCAGGGGCTATGTGAATACATAGAAGTGTGGGTACCTCTGTATATTGTATAGGTCCTTCCATTTGTTGTCCATGTGCCTAGGGGTGTTGTGTACCTGTGCTACTGTGTCCAGTTCGGTTGTGCGAACTCATAGCTGTGTGGGCCTCTCTTGAATGAGTAATCCTTTGTGTGTTGTGATCCCCTGATTGTGGGTTTGGATGAAGGGAGGGAGCCCGTCTGTGCTGCCCAGGAGGACTGCCCAAGAGTACTGGCCCATGCCATGAGAATGACCACGTGGGCTCTGAGCCTGTCAGCTGTGGTCTCAACATGCATGGACGTCACTGGGTTTGTTTCTGTAGATCTGAATTCTGAGGGCTTGTGTGTCTCTTAAATTGTGTATGGGTATGGATGAGGCTTACATGCAAAGCTTGACTGAGGGGTCGGTCCAGTTGCTACCTGCTCTCCAACCCCCCCCAACACACACACACACACACACACACACACACACGCACACACACACGCACACACGCACTCACCTTATCATCCACTCACTGTAAAAACAGTCTTTTTTTCCGGGAAAGTCCCCCACCCTTATCCTAGGCCTCTGCCTGGGAAAGCAGAGGCGGGAAGTCTGGGACTTGGGGGATGGGGAGGGATAAGCAGGCAGTGAGGGCCCTGGGATGATTCTGTAATCGGATGCACTGTGTGACCCTCAGCTGCTGCTGTCTGCTTGTCTCTGACCTGCTTCTGGGAAATGGCTTGTAATGTGGTTCTCACTGGATGAGGTCCCCCTCAGCACTACCCCACCCCGGCAGTCAACCCTCCTGCACTGACCACACCTCCTCTGTGTTTGCTCCCACCAGCTCAGCAGCACTACGTACCCGGTGGTCGTGAAGATGGGGCACGCACATTCCGGGATGGGCAAGGTAAGTCCTGGCAGGAGCATGTATGTGTTTGTGCAATGCACACTCCTGGCACTGAGTAGATGGACGTGTTCAACGCACACCTGGGGTGTTTACCTATTTGGATTTTTGTGATCTCACATTCAGCGGATCTTGTGAGGCCATTTTTCTATCATAATTTCAGCCAATTTTGTGTGTCCTGCTATTTCACCAGTGTCTCCAGCACTGTGTCTGTGAGTATACACATGCCCATGTTGAACACACAAGATATATTCTATTATGCTCCAGGGTCTTGGGGTCCAGTGTGTTTTCCATCCACCTGATTTTGTCTCTGGTGAGAAAGCAGACTTGTAGTTTGCAAGTTGGAGTGTGTCTGAGCTTCTGTATGTTTGTAAATCGGGTGTACAATTGGTTTTGTGTTTGAGTGCCCATACATGTATACTGAACAGTTTTTTTTACAGCTTTATTGAGATAGAATTCACACACTATACAACTTACCCATTTAAAGTGGATAATTCAATGGTTTGTAGAACGCTCAGAGCTGCGTGCACCAACTTTGTGTCTGTACAAAACAGGAGGCCTGTAACTGCATCTTCAGTGTCTCATGTGTTCACATAATTTTTGCGCACTGCCAGTGTGTCAAGTGTATGTGCCACCCCCTCCCAAGCACCCCTACTCCCCACTGCTCTCTTGTCTGAACCAGGCCCTGATCCCTGCCCTCACACCCACAGGTCAAAGTGGACAACCAGCATGACTTCCAAGATATTGCAAGTGTCGTGGCACTGACCAAGACATATGCCACTGCCGAGCCTTTCATTGATGCCAAATATGACGTGCGTGTCCAGAAGATTGGGCAGAACTACAAGGCCTACATGTGAGTAATGAGTCCAGCGCCCAGGGAGGGCTTCCTGCCCTGCCCTAGGCAGCCCAGGCCCCCCTGAGCCTCTCCCCCTTTGCCCTTCAGGAGGACGTCAGTGTCGGGGAACTGGAAGACCAACACTGGCTCTGCAATGCTTGAGCAGATCGCCATGTCTGACAGGTCAGTAGGTCAAACTGAAGGGTGGGAGGGGATGGGAGTGTGGGAGTGTGGCCACTGGGCAAGGCACTGACAAGCTCCCCTGCTTCTCATCTTGGCAGATACAAGCTGTGGGTGGATACATGCTCGGAGATATTTGGGGGACTGGATATCTGTGCAGTGGAAGCGCTGCATGGCAAGGACGGAAGGGATCACATCATTGAGGTGGGAGCAGCCAGGGATCAGCAGGGGCACAAGGGAGGAACAGATGCCAAACTGTGGAGCACTCTGTGCCTCAGGAGGTCCTCAGTGAATGGCAGTGTGCTTAGTAAACTGTAAAGTACCTTGTGACAGAATGGCAAATGACAAAACACTTAAGAAACTCTAAACTGTTCTTATGAATTTCGATATCCTTGGTGAATGGCAAGCAACTCGTTAAATAATTACAGTGTTCGAGCTAGCTCTATGGCCTAGTGTTTAAGATAACCAGATCCCACATGGCCAACTCCATGGTTCGAGTCCTGGACCTGGTGGCTTGAGAAACATGCTGGGGTGTGGTGCATGTGTGTCCCAAATCCCAACAGGATGGAGAAATGGAAAAGGGATTGCAGCATGATCATTCCCCATAGAGAATGTTTTCTCTCTCTCCGTTTCTGTCTCTCTGTCTCTGGTGAGCACAGGTATCCTCTGGCAAAATTTAAAAACCAAACTATAAAATGTTCTGTGAATTGAGACATCTTGGTGAATGAGAAAGCCCTTAGTAAACTTTTAAAGTGTTCTGTGAACTGGACCAACAGCCAAGCACTGTGTAAAGGACCAAGAGCCTAGCAAACTAGAAAGCAGGGATAGACATTTTCTCTAACAGACCAGGCAGTGCATATTTTAGGCTTTTGGGCCATACAGTCTCTTGTAACTGTGCAACTCTGCAACAGCAGCCTCACACAAAGCAGATGCTCCTTAACTTACGATGGAGTTACAGCCCTGTCAACCCAACACAAGTTGAAAATATTGTAAGTCAAACATGCATTTCAACCACCACTTCAAAGTATGGTTTCTACTGAATGTCTATCACTTTCACACCATCAATAAAGTCAAAAGATTGAATTCAACCATCATAAGCCAGGGAGCACCTGTATATTAAAAAAATAAGAGTGGTGGGCCAGCAGGTGGCGTGGTGGTAAAGGCACTGGATCCCACACAGCCAATCCCATAGATGGAGTTCCAGACCTAGCAGCTTGAGAAACATGCCAGGTGTGTGTGTGTGTGTGTGTGTGTGTGTGTGTGTGTGTGTACAGTGTGTGTGTGTGTGCCCAAAATCCTAAAGAAAAGAGAAGGGAGAAGAAAGAAGGATGGAGGAGAAGGGATTGTGGCATGTCCATCTCTCCTGGAGGGTGATTTCTCACTTTCCATCTCTGTCTCTCTCAGGCAAGCACATACACCATATAGCAAAAATATTTTAAAAAGAAAAAAAAAAGCAGTGGCTGTGTTCCAATAAAACTATAAAACACTGGAATTAAATTTCATATTGTTTTCACATGTCATGAAATCTTTTGATTTTTTTTTCCCCCATTACAAAATATAAAGCCCATCCTTCGCTCATGAGGGGATGGGGCTGATTTGCCTATGGACCCTAATTTGCGGACCCCTGCTCTAAAGTGCCTCACATACCATTAAGTACCTCCTGACCTCCTGAAAGACAAGCTGCACAGGGCAAAATCGGCGCCTCTTACAACGTGGAGCTGCCGTCCTAACATGTTGTTACTGCCCCCTCACTGGAACCCTTTACCTCCCCGCAGGTGGTGGGCTCTTCCATGCCACTCATTGGTGACCATCAGGATGAAGACAAGCAGCTCATCGTGGAGCTCGTGGTCAACAAGATGGCTCAGGCCCTGCCCAGGCAGCGGCCGCGCGATGCCTCCCCTGGCAGGGGCTCTCACAGCCAGGTCAGGCCCTCTGCCTTGCACTAGTGGCGGGAGGCCAGCCCGTGGTCAGTAGGCACACACAGCATCACCTTTATGCACACATGGCTGGAATTGCCAGTTGTTTAAAAACTTACTAGCTGCTGCCCAGATGTCCCTGTACCTCCCAACACTGCCTGAATGGGCAGTGTGTGAGTCCCCCAGCCCACAACCTGACATCCCCTCAGCTCGGCCACAAATGGGGCCACACCCAACACACAGGGAACCCACGGCATTTCTGATTGGCTGCTGCTCCTCTGGCCAGTTGCTATTTTTAACCTCTCCTGCTCCACTCTGCCGCAGACTCCGTCCCCAGGGGCCCTGCCCTTGGGCCGCCAGACTTCCCAGCAGTCCGCGGGCCCCCCCGCTCAGCAACGACCCCCACCACAGGGTAAGTCAGGGGTCAACTTTCTCGGCCCCTACCATCCCAGCAGTCCCCGCTCTCCGCCTGTTCCCCCCCCCCCCCCCCCCC